ACATGCAGACAGATCAGCGTCCCTGGTTACCATGTAACCAGGGACGCTGATCTCCAGACAGGCCAACTCTCCCGGCTCCTGGCCGGCCGGGAGATAAACCCTTTCTCCCGTTAAGTTATTTTCTGACTAAATCTAAAAGATAAAATTGTATTGAGTTAATAAATAACAAATATTTGCAAATTTGAAATTGCGCCATTTTGGGAAAAGGTAAATAAATGAAGGAATGCAAAACTGTAAATAAGCGATTTATGTTAAAAATCTTTTTTGCACTTTGTTGGTGTTTGTGTTGTGAAAAAATGATACAGGCGTATATTTAATCGCAACACAAGGTATCACACAATGCGTCACAAAGCTTTGCCATGCGTTGCCACAGTTAAAATAATGTTTTTATTTAAAGAAAAAAAAAACCTCATGCACTGTGATGCATTCTAACAACTCTCTGCAGCGCATGTGGTGGCTAAGGATGACTCGGACGCAAATTTACGAAGAGGGCCGGTGATCGATCGAAAGTTCGAACTTATCGAGTTCTGGGACCTCATGACTTCCGGTTTCCTTAGAACTACGAGGTTTGCACAAAAAACTTCTTCTGCACGAGCGCCATCCGCGGCATTGCTCTATACACATGCACCACAGCAATAAAGTAATACAATGAACTCGGATCACAGTAATCAAGCACGTTATTAATCTGAGTTGCCCCACTCAAGCGGCGGCCATATTGAGTGGGGCACCGGAGATAAATAAGGTGATTACTGTGATCCGACTTCATTTTATTACTTTATTGCTGTGGTGTATGTGTATAGGGCAATGCCGCGGAAGGCGCTCGTGCACAACAAATTTCTTGCCCAAACCTCATAGTTCTAAGGAAACCGGAAGTCATGCGGTCCCACAACTCGATAAGTTTGGACTATTGATAGAACACCTGGCGGCTAAGAGGAAAAAGGAGGCGGGCAATGGCAGGACGGGATGCGCGGATCGGAAAAGACGGTGGCAGCGGCGACACGGAACGGGGGCAAGAAGGACAGGAGGGAAGAACCGACACGGGCACAGAGGACAGAGGTAGCGGCAGCGGAGGAACCACAAGACTGTATACAAACAAGAGGTACTAAGGGAAAGGGGTGGAGGTTCGGGGGGAGTTGAGGTGAGCGGCCAGGTTCATGGTTATTTAGGGTTAACTATACAGCGGCGGCTGCAGAGTTGGGTTAGTTAACATGGGGCGACATTGAGTAGGCCAGTGCTTAGAAGTGATCTGTTTTCTGACACCGCAGAATTTGCATTTAGCATTTGCAGGTGGGAGAAATATGCGGTACAAAGAGTTGCACTGAAAATGACCGGGAAAAATAGCTCAAGGGCTTTGATAAATTCCCCCCAATGTTTTTCTGTCAATTTTATTTGAACCCTTTTGGGGCCAGGTCACAATGTATAGATGTCCAGGCCAAGTTTAGATGCATCCATATGTGTCAGTTAACCTGAATATAACACTATGTTTGTTTTCATGTTTTCAACACAGTGCTAATATACTGCATGTACAGTTAAAGTGACATTAAACCCTCAGATTTTTTAACGTAAACCAATACTGTAATGTGTGTGCCTTACTATAATCCATGGTAGTTTCCCTTCTCTTTGCTGCTCTTCCTTTTAAATCCTCATATCTTCTCATGCTGGGGGGAGAATTTCCCTTTGCAGCTGAGTGCCTCTTCCTGTAGTGCTGGCTCAGGTTGTGAACCTTCACACAGACACCATGTATCCATTTCAGAGACAAGGCAGTCTGCTGCAAAACAGAAGTTCTGCCCAGCATGAGAAGAGAGAAGGAATTAAAAGGAAGAGCAGCAAAGAGAAGGGAAACTACCATGGATTACAGTAAGGCACACATTACAGTATTGGTTTATGTTAAAAAATCTGAGGGTTTAATGTCACTTTAAGTCTAACATTTCACCTGCTACCTAAAAAAAGCAATACTTCCCATTTACTTGACTAAAGTAACTCTTCCACAGAAGGTAATAGTTATAATAGGTATAATAGTTACCTCTAACACAGAGAGTGCGTTAGATCTTTGCTGTCTTAAAGTGTTACAGCCACCAAAGAATTTTCTGCAACCAACACTTTCAGGTGTTGAATATTTGGTATAAGAGCTGGAGGATGGAATCACAGCATGCATCAGGGGATTTTTAAGTGTGTGTGTCAGATGTTAAGTGTGTTAGATGCAAAAGATTCTTGGTCAACCATAGCTCTATAAGAGAGAGAAGATCTGGGGCACTGTTTGGTGTGGGTTACCATTTCTTTTTTTGCAGGCAGTTTGTATTTACATTTTCAGAATAACACTGTAGTCTAATTAATTGGACCCCATGACCAATATGCACACCACAAAGTATTGCTTGTAACTTTTGAATATAATCAAGTATCGAGAAATAGACTTCAGCACCATCTTCTCAACAGGGAGAGATGACCTCTGGAGTTTTAAAGTCTAGTATCATGCTTGTATATTCCTTCTTTAGAGTCACCATACCCAAAGCTTTCTGCTCATTCCATCAAGAATGGTCATACCCTGAAATCTGATCATTAACTGCATAGTCCAACACAATTAAGCTCTTTATGACATCAGTATGCATAATGTCAGCTAATATAGTCTTAATTAGGAGATTTAATAACCAGTCTTCCAAATTGTTCAACAATTGTATCAGAATTATTCAGATCATGTAGCAATTCTGCCCACACATGGGTTTCGTAACACACACATGCATTATTTTATTTTTTTAACTGTCATTTGATACATTTAAAGGTGATAATATTGTTTTACAGCACGCCTGAGATGTTTTGTAGGATGCAAGAAAATAAAGCATCACTATAAACTAATGCAGCCATAAATTAGTAATGACATGTTAATCTATCTGATAAATGAATCAGTAAAACTTACATTTTTAAAAATGTATATATACAGCATTTTTTTTTGGTTAGGGGATTGCATCCCTTAAACATATATATTTGTCCTCATAGAAATAAAAGCTAGAAGATCTATTTCTACAATGACAACAAAGTTGGATTTGCACTTGGCCTCTGCAAAGTGTTCTGAAGCCCTCTGATGTGATATACAGTATATACTTTGAAATGTCTCTGACCAAAGAAATTAAATTTCAGTAATATACATTTCAATCATTATTTTTGACAGGTACAGGAATTCTCTCGCCCAGGCAGGATGAGAACCCTCACTGGTGGAATCTAAATGCTGTGTATGTCTATTATGATTGTGATAAGTATGAACAATTGTCCAATAATGCTGTGAATGTCTACTAAAAACAAAAATGCATGAATAACTGCCCCTGAATTTCTGCAATACATTTACCAAAGATAAGATGTTAATGACAGTACCACACAAACACTGAAAGTTCAACACTGAGTTACAAGAAATAGCATAAAGAAAACTGGCATAAAACTTTTCAGCTGAAGAAGAAATCCATGCAGCATGTATCATTCAATGCAGTACCAGTGCAATCCAGCTTATACCACAATTACCAGACTACTCACTTAAAGTGACACTAAACTCAGGAGTTAAATCTTAAAAATGCATTCAAGTATTCAACCATTAACAAAAATGTAGCGTATTTGTGTATCACTCGGCTGTAGATCTTCAAATCATCTCTGAATTAGTGCTGACACTGTCCTTCCTTCTGGAGGGCGGCTACTTTTGTTCCCCATGGTCTCTGTGTGTGTTGTAAAGTAGCCACTGCTCCAAGCTTATTCGTGAGATTAACTACAATTGCAATACAAATTGGTAAACCAAACGTGAGATTGTAGCCCATCAGGAGTGAGCTTGGAGCGGTGGCCAGGTGCACGTTTCCAGCACACTTACTAGCCAGTCAACAAACAAATTCAACATTGCATCTTAGTGTCCAAGGAAAGTGTAGCATAAATATTTTAGCGGTGCTGGTGACTGTCACAGCCAAAGAAACTAACATTTCACTTCCAGTCCAAACTATCAGTCAATGGTGGCGCCATATGCATCTGAAACAGAGGCTCTATATATCAGTTTATGGCTTCCACATAGATGTGGTGCAAATATATGCTACTAACACCTGTTTTTAAATAGAGTTTAGGAATGTCTGGCCATTTCTTCTTTAGGAATAAATCTGATCTGCTATTTTGTTGGACACCTGGTGTGGGAGTTGAGCTTTAATAATTTGCAGTGTTCATTTTTGACTATGCTCTATCTTTAGTTATAATATTAGCAAAGGATGAAAGAAGAGTTAGCGCTCATGCAAGAGATTTTATTTCACTTTCACAATGCTTACAATGATTTTGTGGGTTCCTCAAGCCTCTGTAGCCATAGTTAAGTGGCCTGGGAACTGCTTCAGAAATATGGGCATACATGATATTGGGCAGCAAATGCTGAGAAGCCATCTCTAAGCTTGGACTAAGACTTTGCCTCAAGGGTAGGGGCGGTGTCAGTGATGTCAGAAGGGTGAGCTCAGTGAGTCATACAATGATCTTCTAAAGACAATAAGATGTGAGTAGCAACTTTAAATCTGAAGAGTCCTCTCTTTTTACGTTTTTAGGTATGTGAGCAGCTGCTCCAAAAACACAAAACAGGTGTATCCTGAGGCTGAGCTTCTCAGAGGTCCTCTGACAGCCTTACTGACAAGCAGGGTGGTGCACCAGATGCAAAAGCAAGAACTGTGGGATTGTGGCCTATAAGATATTTTTTACTGTGAGCTTAAGCAAAGAACTGTTCCCAAATTTCTGTAAAAAGAGCCCACACAAAGAGGTTCAGTTTGTTAAAGACACATTCCCACTATCAATGAGACATAGTATATATACATTTATTGATAAGTGCTTTCTTTTCTTTCTCCAGTTTCGTGCCATACTGCTCAAGTGATGTCTGGAGTGGAAATGTATCCAAAGTTAACAATGGTATAAATATTTTAAATTTTTTTGCTCAAACTAAAGGCTCAATTTACCAAGTATCATTGCAAGTGTTATTTGCCATAACAATTATTTTCAGCCATTTGATTAGTACATAAAACTCTTTATTCTAATATAACTATCATTATGAAAAATTGAGCCTATAACAAATAACCTTTTATGCCCAAGTAAAAGCATGAACTCCTTATCTAAACCTATAAACATTAAAGCGTATCTGAAGGCAAAATTAAAAAGAAAAAGAGTGCAGTTAATATCTGCAGTATATGCGCATTTCCCCTTGTTTTATACCGTTGAAAACCCTGCGAGTTAAGCTCTGCCTTTTGGTCTGCCAGAATGGCACTTAACTCCTATTTTCTGAACAAAAACAATCCAAAATGATACTGATCCAGGCAACTTCCATGCAGCCACTGGCCATGAGTGCAAGGCCCAATCTAGGATCCTCCTCCTCCCTGTGGTTTCAATCAATCAAAGGTCCAGGCCGGACCATTGCTGTACATCCTTCTTTCAATCATGATCAACTTTATTTACACGGTTATATGGCCAATCTGAATTTTTTTTTTTTACCACTGTCAGACATAACTACTCCTGATGGGTTTTACACTTAATCGGAGCTAAATCCCTATGTTACCCCTTGTGCCGTTGTAACAGCTCCAGCTACCTATCTCACCTCATGGTTTCCTTCCATTAAGGTCTCTCATAAGTCTTAGGGCCAGAGTCAATGGCATTTTGTTCCTATCAGAATGACTTTTGGGCGGGGTGCGGGATAGGTTTGCTTGAAGAGATGAGCTCTCATGGATCACCTAAAAGGAGGCAGAATAGTAGATAGCTGGGCAGATTGGGGTACACAGTTCCAGAGACAGAATAGTAGATAGCTGGACAAATTGGGGGTACGGAGTTCCAAAGAATGGGAGTAGCTCTAGAGAAGTCATAGAGGTGAGCATGGGTGGAGGTAATGAGGGAGCTAGAGAGCAGGAGGTCTTGGGAGTAGTGAAGGGGATTGTTTGGGTGATATTTTGAGATGACGTTGGTGATGTAGTTTTGGGCAGAGTTGTGGATTACTTCATGTGTTGTTGTTAGTTTTTATAATTTTATTTGTTGGATGTGCGAAAGATAGAAGAGTGGTCAGAGAGTGGTAGTGGACAATCTCTAACATTGAGCGGTTGTTAAGGTGAATAAGTATGAAAAGAGCATGCCTGATAGACTGAATGGGGGATAGCCTGTGCAGAGGTGAGATAATGAGAAGGGAGTTACACAAGAGCGACAAATATACAACAGTAGAAATAAAAGGAAATAAAAATGAGAGTATTTAACAAGTCCTGGTTTTTGTGAGTTCTTGCAGGGTCCAGGCAATGAAACAGAAGAAAGATATAGATAGGAGTCTTTCTCAAGTAAGGCTTACAAAGGTTCCTTCTTGATGTTAAAGCGGAGCTCTTCTTTGGTGGTACATGTGCCTCTTATTATAATGTAAAGATCACTTTTTTTAAATTATTTAAACGAGGGCTTTTGGCTGCCTTGCACAGCCTCTTTTTGTGAGTCCTCTAGGGGGTATCACTGTGCCGGCCCCTAGTCCAATCAGGAAGACTCAGCGAGGTGAGCAGGAGGGCTAAGGAGTTTATAATCTGCTCTCCGACCCCTCCTAAACTGTTATCTTCATATTAATACCCTTTGTATTTTACCATCAGATAAACTACAGATCAGTGTGTTGTATGAAATTAGCTTGCCATAGACATCAAACGTGGCATCCCTGGGAAGTATGGCTGGCTCAGGAGAGTTAATGTGTGTTCTTAGATCTTTGACCCTCCTAAACCACTCATTTTTAGTATGTTTATATCTCATTTGAGTCACAGTTTAGATGTCATTTAAAAACAAATAAGTTAAATAAAACTTTCGCCCCCACAAACTTACATAGACACACATCGGGTGCCCTACACATGTTGGGTATCCCATGTGTGCCAGAGTGAGAGCAATAATTCTTAGGCCCATATTAATGATTAACTCTATACAGATGGCCTGTGCTTTTAAAGCATCATCTATGGACAATTTAGGGTACTACTGGTATATTGTATCGCCATTTCATGAGTGCACACAATTTATAAGCTTGGTATGTTGGGTATCTATTTACTGAACACAACCTTATCTTTTATATTTTATAGAAAAAATGGGTATTATATTGTGTTTTTGTGCACTAAAATCAACTTAAGTGTAGTTTTTTTTCTGAAATATTGGGTTTGATAAAGAGTTGCACTAATATTATGTGACATAAAACATTGCACCTGCTGCCATTTTATTATACAAAGTCTCTGCTTTCAGAAAATGTATAATTCTGGGGGTGGGTTAAATAATTTTCAGTCCTATAAATGCAAAAAACACCTTTTGAGCGAAGGGTTAACTGTGTAAAAATCTGAAAGACACATAAATATTTATTTTTCATATATGTTCTAATAATAACATGTACAGAACAGATTTCCATTTCCTATTTGTTTTCGTTCTGGTTTCTAGATTATTCATTCATGGGATCATTAATAATTCAGGAGGTAATTCGTGATTTGGTACCAAGAGGCATTAAACAGGCCAAAACTGTCATTCTGGCTGGTTCTAGGTATGTTTTCTACAACTGCTATATGTTTATGCATTATACTGATTACCCTGTTCTGATATGTTGGCAGAAAGAGATTTGTAGATTAACAGTTCTGTTTTTTACTCAACCTTTACCACAGTTAATCCATTCAAATAAGCCTAGAGAGTGTAACATTTGCTGCATAAATTTAGCTGTGTATATAAATACGTTTTCTCTGTGTGAGAGATAACAAGGAGCCCAGAAGGGATGAGTTTGAGAATTATTTTCCTGGATTAAAAGCAGGTGAGGAAAAGGGGTTCCTAGATTAATATATCACAGACAAAAAGAGCATGGTAGACTACTGCACCACAGAAATCCTGGGATAACACTGGAGATGATATACTAAAGCAGTATAGTCTGTTCACGTAAATTATATTAAAGTCAAAAAGTTGGTAAACTATTTCAAATGATGATTAAATCACTTACAGTAGATGCTGCTTCTTGATGTTTAAAATATTTTATTTTCTGCAGAATCAGCTTATCCCCCGAGCACTGCCCCTGATGTCCTGTTTTAGGATAACTCCTTTCCCTTGCAGAGTCCTATGGAGCCACCCTTGTGTGTGCTAGTAAGCTGTGTGTGTCTCCACAAACACACGGGCACAGCAATGCAAGTCACTTTTCTGCTCCCTGCTTTTCTTTCCTCCCTCCCTCCTCTCCTCTCTAAACTCCAAGCTAGTAGATGAAGAGCTGCTGGCAGTGGCGTAACTAGAAACTTCCAGGCCCAGGTGCAAGAAACCATGAACGGCCCCCCCAACCCCCCATCGCCATGGCACCATGTGGTTAACAGGAAGGCTGCCAAGGTGCCCAGCAAGCACGGGACCTCAGGCAGCCGCTTCAGTTCAAAAATTTAGTGCCGATGTTCTGTCAAGAATGCCGACCCAGTATCTGCATTTGCGCACAGACAGGATTAACGAGGAAACTGGGATTTATTTACAAAGTATTAGTGTGTAATCGTAAATTGTGACCGTTAATAATATGCCATCCATGGTAAATGATGGATGGCATATTATTAACGGTCACAATTAACAATTCAAACTTTACTTTAAATACTTTGTCAATAAATCCCGGTTTCCTCGATAATAGTGCTGAAGTCAGCAAATTCGACTAGGTCGGCGTTCTCGACAGAACACCGGTATCTGCGCTTAGTATCGGGGAATTTTCACGAGTACGATTACTTGTGAAAATGCTAGTATTGGCACTGGTGCGTCCCTACTTAATAGTATAATGTATTGCTGGGACTTGTAGTCCTGTATAGTTTGTGCTATTCTGCATTGCTGTATAATCATTATACAGCAATGCAGCAGAATACCACCAACTATGCAGGACTAAAAGTCCAAGCAATAGATTATAATGAAAATACCACCAGCCTCTCAGCAGCCTCACATTCACTAAGCTAAGTGAAAATTCCCATGCAAAGTGAAAATTCAAAGGGAACATGCTCTACTTCTTTAGTAAATTAAACCCACTGTGTTCCTTGCATGTATTTTTAAAGTTAAATGTTTGGCTTTGATTGGTTATCCTGTCTGAGACAACCTACTATATACGTATAACCTACAATATATATGCTTGATTTCACAACAACACAGCTTACATAGAGTTGAATAGAACAGGTTCTAGCTGTACTATGACAACTGGGCATTCTCTCCAGATCTATTCGGCTGCAATGTGCCAACCAAAAAGGAAGAAAGGCCACACTCAGGAGCAAACATCGATTTTCTGGGTGCTCTCTGCAGCTTTCGAAATAGTTGATATAGCAATGCAGGATATGCAATACAATGTTCCACTAGGTGGCAGAAATGCACTTGCTTCTCATCAACATAACCACATTTCTACCTTAAAACACTGATTATATGATTAAGAACTGGTAAAGGATGTTGTTGTTTCAGAAATCCAAATTTGCCAAATGTAGAAACACTCTTTTTTTCTATTGCTGTATCACTTTTGTGTGTTTTTTCTTCTAATTATCAAGAGTTACAGCTGTCTTTGATAATGATTATCAGACCACTGATAATTATTAATGGTCAGCATATGCTTGCCTCCTGACCTGCCAGATAAGTCTTTACAGGGAACTCATAAATATCTTTATTCGCCCCACTGCTCCTTGCATTAGCTGAAAGAGATAACGCTTGCAATGCCATGTTACAGCTGACCGGTTAGGTCCTATTGTCATGCAGGTAAGAGTGATGTCGTCCCTCCAAATCTTCATACTACTGTATACATACTAGTGTATACATACTACTGTAGCTTGCCTTCATAAGGTGCCAGGCACAGACACCTTAAAATGGCAATCTACACTAGTCCTACCTTTTCATGGCCGCTAAATGCAGCCAAAAGAGACTAAAGCATGAGCAGAAATACACATGCTTTCTGTTTCAGTAACCTTTTATTAAAGGTTTGTACAGTTGACAACATAGTAATAACAAGTACAGGATGTGAACAGTATTTCACAGATGAAGAGTAGTGAACATCCATAGACCCTTGGATGCAGGCTATATCACGGCTATTGTTAAAGTGTGAGATACTTTCTCGTGTCAGAGAGACAACAGCAGGGAGATAGTGCTCTATTCAAATAGTCCAAACATGTTAAAATGTATGGACTGAGTCCTTGAAGATTGAGGCTATTTTCTCATTTTCTGTTTTGCTTGTGTGATTGTGGGGTGTGATGATGACCATGCTTTAGTGAGAACTTGTTTAGCTGTGTTAGTGGTAAACAAAAATGTAAAGGAAAATACTCTGGTCTTAACCACTGGCACTATAAAATACGTGCACCCACAAGTGTGGCAGAATTGTCTAACTATATAGGGCACTGAAATGGGCACAGTGGCAGTGGGGTCAGTGGACACAGAGGCATTGGTGCGAGCTCTGTACACCATAGCTGAGATGAGATGTCAGGGGAGGTCCGTACACCATAGCTGAGATGAGAAGTCAGGTAAGGTCTGTACCCCATAGCTAGAATGGGAGGTCAGGTGAGGTCCCCCATAGCTAGGATGGGAGGTCATATGAGCTCTGTACCCCATAGCTAGGATGGGAGGTCACGTGAGCTCTGTACCCCATAGCTGGCATAGGAGGTCAGGTGAGCTCTGTACCCTATAGCTGGGATTGGAGGTTAGGTGAGGTTTGTACCCCACAGCTAGGATTGGAGGTCACGTGAGCTCTGTACCCCATTGCTGGCATAGGAGGTCAGGTGAGCTCTGTACCCTATAGCTGGGATTGGAGGTTGGGTGAGGTTTGTACCTCATAGCTAGGATTTAAGGTCAAGTCAATGGTGGATCTGGGGATAGGGCAACAAGGCAATTTTTGCAGGGGGATGCAGGGACATTTTCATGAAAACCTAAGAGACTCTCATCAGTGAGAAGCAGGCATGGACTCATGTGCTACCAGTGTGCCCAGAGACTGGCCCAGAGCTCCCTGACACCAAGGACCAGGATACGGGACCCAGTACCAGTCCTCCTATAGATAATGGTACTCTGCATTGCTGTATAATGTATTGCTGGGAGTTGTAGTGCTCTATAACTTATGGTATTACTCTGCATTGCTGTATAATGTATTTCTGAGATTTGTAGTCCTCTATAGCTGGTGCCATTTTGCATTGCTGTATAATGTATTGCTGAGATTTCTAGTCATTTACAGCTGATGGAATTATTCTGCATTGCTGTATAAAGTATTGCCGGAATTTGTAGTCCTCCATAGCTGACAGTATTCTGCATTGTTGTATAATGTATTTCTGGAATTTCTAGTCCTCTATAGCTGACAATATTATTCTGCATTGATAGAGAGTCTATGGTGGGCTCTGCAGGGTCACTCTTAGGTGGCCTATACAGGGTATCTGATATGTGCAGAGCCAATGGTGGGCTCTGCGGGTCTATAGTGTGTTCTGTAGGGTCACTCTCAGGTGGACTGTTCAGGGTCCCTGTAATGTGTGGGGTCCCAGGTGGGCTCTGCATGTTCTCCGGTGGGCTTGGCATGGTCTTGGGTTGGCCCTGCAGGGTCTCAGGTGGGCATGGGCTCTGCAGGGTCTCTGGTGGGCTGTGTGGGGTATCAGGTGGGCTTTGCGGGTCTCTTGTATGTGCTGGGTCTCAGGTGGGCTCTGCGAGATCTAAGGTGGGCTGTGTGGGGTCTATGATTGGCCTCTGCAGGGTCTCTGGGGGGCTGTGCCGGGTCTTTGGTGGGCTCTGCAGTAGTGAGCGGCGGAATGATCTGCTCTTCGACTCTGACGCCAGAGCCAGCAGGAGCAGAGCTGGAGAGACGGAGAAGGCATGGGAACGTGTTCTGGAGGTAGGTACTTTTTTTGGGTGGGGAAGGGGGCCCTTTTCAAAATTTTGGTATGGTGCCCTGTGATTTCTAGTTACGCTCCTAGTCACATAGTTGCAGCTGCGACTGGGCCCTAGCATTCTGCCACTTGTGGGGGCCCAGACAGAAGGAAGGGGGCCATGGTAACCGCCGACATTGCAGGTTACCGGGCCCACCTTCCTTCAGTCTGGGGCCCTCCATCCTTCACACTGTGCCAGGATTGTGTGTATCACAAAGCTCCACAGCAATAAAACATAGTAATGTGCACTCTAGATGACAGACCCATATTAATGGCAGTAATGAGATTCCATTCCTGCACACAAAAGTGTCAGGGTGGGTAAAAAAAAAGGTACAACTGCTGTTATAGATAACAAACAACTGTATGTATTAGTGCAGTATTCTGTTCTGTAAGCAGCACCTTATTTTCTGGCAGTGCCCCTCCCGAGACTGGAGTCTGGATCTGTCCCTGCTCCATACACCTACTCATGCTGTATAAGAAATGCCTTAATTTGGGTTGTAGGTAGTGTTTTGAATTCCACACCTACACCTATTGTTAAGTTTTATTCAAGACGCAACAAAGAATCTGTTATTAGGTAGCTCAGCCTGAGAGTTTTTCATCGTTGTATGTATCACCTTGATCTTTGAGTAAAGAAGTGTGGAGGAGGCATGCAAACACGTGTACCTAAATCTTATCAGGGAGAGAGGACTATCACTGTTAACCCCATTATTTAAAAATCAAGGAAAAAGGAGCCTTTACATATTTAACATAAATAACTTGCACAATGTAAACATACTTAACAAATAATGATCCGTAGCTGATTATCTATTACCTCCTTCAATGCATGTTTTATCAGCTGAACATGCTGCAAAACATAATTTGTAGTCAGTGCTGTCTACAGTGCTGTCTGAAGTCCTGATACCGATACTAGTATTGATATCAGGGCTGATACACGGCATTATCAGGAGTACTTGTACGCCTGAAAATGCCCCGATACTAAAGGCCGATACTGGCCCTTTAAATTTTTTAGGAACTTCGGCTGCCTGGGGGTCCTGAGCGTGCTGGGGTCCTCTGGCAGCTGTCTTCGATAGTGCCTGTCTGGCTGCACATTGCCTCCTCCTCCTTCCTAGCACAGGACAGCCCCACACTCACCAGCACAGCCCTGGAGCCCAGAACGAGCCCAGAACGAGCCCCACCCGTTCACCCCTAGAAAGCCCAGCAGATGTATGCAGAACCCTGGAGAGCCTGGCACCGGCCACAGAGCCCTGGGGAGACCCACACACAGCCCTGTCGAGGCCTGCATGACATCCCTGGTGAGACCTGCACAGCATCCCTGGGGAGATCTGCATGTAGCCCTGGTGAGACCTGCACGGCTTCCCTGGTGAGACCTGCACGGCATCCCTGGTGAGACCTGCACGGCATCCCTGGTGAGACCTGCACGGCATGCCTGGAGAGACCTGCACGGCATGCCTGGAGAGACCTGCACGGCATGCCTGGAGAGACCTGCACGGCATGCCTGGAGAGACCTGCATGGCATGCCTGGAGAGACCTGCACGGCATGCCTGGAGAGACCTGCACTTAGCCCTGGTGAGACCCAAACACAGCCCTGGTGAGACCCAAACAGAGCCCTGGTGAGACCCAAACAGAGCCCTGATGAGACCCAAACACAGCCTGAGACCCGAACACAGTCCTGGGGAGACATGCATGCGTCCCTAGTGAGACCCAAACAGAGCCCTGGTGAGACCTGCACGCATCCCTGCTGAGACCCAAACGCAGCCCTGGGAAGGTCTGCATGCATCCCTGCTGAGACCTGCACGCATCCCTGCTGAGACCTGCACGCATCCCTGGTGAGACCTGCACGCATCCCTGGTGAGAGCTGCATGCATCCCTAGTGAGACATAAATGCATCCCTGGGGAGATCTGCACGCATCCCTGGTAAGGCCCAAACGCATCCCTGGTAAGATCTGCATGAAGCCCTGGTGAGATCAGGGCTGCTTATAGATCTGAGATGTGAGAAAGTCACACATCAAGATGTTAAAAGTCATGCGACCTTACAGTAGTAGAGGTCGCACGGCTTCCACACACCTTACAATAATCGTACGATAATCGCGGGATTTCCCGCGATTATCGTACGATTATCGTAAGGCGTGTGGGCACCCTTATAAGGAAAGAAGCAGGGTCTGCATCCATTTAGAAAAAGTTAGCCCCAAAACTGAAATTCGTATTGCAGAGGGATGCATAAAATTTTACTTGTAACTTAGGGCCCATTCACACCACATCCAGATCATATCCAGACCAGACAAGATTGTTTCTGGACCCAAAATGCATCCTAATGTATCCCTATGCTATTTCTGGCCCCTGTTCACACCAGCACAGCACGTTCCAGACCAGACCAGATAAATACTCACAATAAAACACAATAAAAATGCATACAAACGCACTCTAATGCACCTGAAAGGCCATCTTAAGCTTTAAAAAAAAGTAAAAACGCGGTAAAACGCAATGAATAGCGTTCCAGATCTGGTCCAGATCTGGTCCGGAAAATGGTGTGAACCTGCCTTAAGTGCAGATGTCTGAGGGCTTTCCTGATCCTGATAGGTTTTTTGAGGTCTCACTATGCTGTCTGTCCCGAGTACAGATTCAGTTTTGCTTACTTTCTGTAGATGTTTACTTCACAATGACTTTTCAAGTCTTGCTTTTGGAAATTAACATAATCGATAAATGAGAATGGCACAAGGCTAGACTGTGTCCTACATATTATATTTCCTATTGTTTAATTGTTTATTCCATGGAAAGCATACTGAGGGGAATTTATCAAAAGTGGAGCAGACAGAATCTGGAGCAGTTCCCCATGGCAATCAATCAGCATCCACCTTTCATTTTCAAACCTTAACTGAACAAACCGAAGAGAGAAGCCATAGGACTTTGGGCATTGCAAAGAAAGCTCTAGCTCTAGAATGGAGTCACCTCTGTATTCACTCAGTAGAATCAGTTTTCTGAATGGAACCATATAAAATTATGTCAAAGGACTAGAGAGAAAGTGTTATAGCAGCAGAACTTTTTATGGCCATAACCCGAATACTGTTAGTCGTAGACTATTAGTGCTATCATAAAACAATTACATAATCCTAGTTGACTGCATATTTGTCGGTTTCTTTTTTTCAAAATTGGGGACTTTTTTCAGCAGGGGTTAATTCATGGACCCATATTAGAAAATTGTTATCGTACTGGCACCCAACAAATTATTACTAAAACTTTAGAAAAGCTAAAGACAATATAATACATTGCAGCTCTCTTTGCTGTTTCTGTAAACTTTAGTAAAACCAAGAAAAAAAATGATCTGTTATTACGTTTCCAACTAGCGTTTGGGCCTCATAAAATTGTCTGTGTAATTCCCTCCACCCCTAGCCGAGCATATCATAATGCTCTAGTTCTGCTTACTCTGCTATCAAACATATACTGTACATTGAAATATTTCACAGGTCTCGAGACGGTGGTATGTCATTGGTGGGGAAAATGTATTACGTTTTTATCCATAGACATGAACACTTTTTGTGATACATTAACCACATAGGTTTACAGGCTACTGTATATCTCAGAACAAGGTCATATATGAATTGAAACAAAGTTTAAATGTGTTATATCACTTGCCACGGACTTTGCACTTGGACAAACTAGGCTGTTTACTACACTATAGGTGGAAACTCATTACAAACATGTCTGCAACCCAGTTTGGGCCCTGACCTGTCAATGCTTTACAGTATATTGAAGGAGCAGACAAAATCTGGAGCAGCTCTGCATGGCAACCAATCAGCTTCTCTCTTTCATTTTTCAGCTAAACAAACTGAAGAGAGAAGCTGATTGGTTGCTGTACACAGCTGCTCCAGATTTTTTTCTGCTCCAGTTTTGATAAATTTCCCCCATTGTCTTTAGAAGCAAGTAGAGCTCAACAATGAAGTTAAGGGTGATTGGAAGATTTGACTTCGCTGTTCTTCCAAATCAGCCTCTATTAATGCCACTAAAAAGGTTCATTTGGATCAATGGTGATAGTGTATTTTTACCCAGTGAAACCAACTTGTACTATATCTATAGTATAGGGATGGAGGATGTTGAATCCATTATAATTTGTGTCTAAGGATTTGATTTCATTAGGGGCTGACTATCAGGTAATGTGTTTTTCCAAGGGGAAGAAGTTCATTTGAAATTTGGAAAGTTTTATAAAATGTTACTGCTGTCCACCCAGACTGAAAAAATCAAGCCTCACAATTTTCTCCTCTTTAAATGTTCTTTTTTTGTCCCAGTGCCGGAGGTACTGGAGTCCTTATTAATATTGACAGAGTGTCAGCACTTGTGGAAGAACTAACAGCGGACACTGTGCAAGTACGAGGCCTCGTTGATTCCGGGTGGTTTTTAGATAAGAGACATGCAAAATCTGATTGTATGGATGGCTCCTCGTGCGCATTAACTGATGCAATCAAGAAGGGTTTGAGGTAAGTGAGAAAAAGCTTTAAGTAAAATGCTTACAGTTTTCCTTCCACAAAGCAACACTATTCCTATTAAAGTTCCTATTGAATTTGGGAGTATTTTATATCTGACATCTTCACCACTTCAGCTATTTTTCCTGGACTAAGGAAGTATAAAAAAGAAACAACACGCAGTGAAAACTGTCAGACCAGCTAGTTTCATAGATTTTCCTTTCATTATGCTATGTGTATCTTCATTTTTTTCTTCAAAATAAGTGTGTTGCACTTATTTGTTCATAATTAGGAGTAAGGCCCCTTTCACATGGCGTTCCAATCAGGTGTGTCTGTAATTTTTTCAGGCGGACCTAATTGGAAGCTCAAAGTTTGCCGATGAGCCAGTGCATGTAAATGGACCTGTGCTCAATTACACCCAATTATGTCCAAGTCCATCTAGGTCTGAAAAAAAAATTGAACAGCGCTCTGTTTTGGCGGACCTGAAAAGGAGAGGTTGGAGGTAATCAGTTGTAAACAGACACCTGTCCACTTATATACCCTTACACCCAACATGGGTCCAGTTAGTTCATTGTTTTCCTCTATAGCAATAGGGTTGCCAAGTTTGGGGTCACAGCCTGAAACACTTCCTGCCATATGCTCCTCTTCTCCACCTTGTCACTGTATTACCAGCAGGAGGTGTCCCACAGGCCTGGTCTGACATGGACCAAATTAAAAATGTCTCATGAAAGACATCCCTGGCCATAATGGATGCAAAAAACATCCTATGCATGCTCCTATCTGTGCCCCAATTGAAGGTGGGCAAAAGTAAAAATGAATAAAAATTTTTGATCAAAAAACAGACATTATCTAAACAGATGTAAACTGATGACCTCGGTTTACATCAGTTTATATCTGTTCAGTTCTGTCGAGGCCTGAAGAAAGGCTTTTTCCAGACCTAGACTGACTTGGATGTCAGCTGATACAAATGCACTTGCCCATAGACATACATTGGATATCAGTCTGGATCCGTTGGAAAAACTGAAAGAGTGATCCAGACTGAATGTCCGTGTGAAAGGGGCCTTTGGGACTGGTGTAAACTTCATCATGAGGTGATTGTAGTCATAGGTGTGCACCTGTAGCAAAACAGGTGAGTCCTGTTTGTCATTGGCAAAGCTAGACATGCCGTCACCCGGGACAAAGACTTAGAGTTACCCCCCCCTTCCCGGGAGAAGTTCTCCATCCACACACCACTGCCTCCACCCCACACTTCTGGGCTCTCTTCTTCTTTTGTCACGGTGGCACCCCTCCTGATCCACCACAGAGATGAGGCTTCATATCGCCTCATTCTCCAGTGCTGCTTTATTAATTAAAGAGCCGCTTTTGGGCTTGATTCTATTTTCCCAGCAGTGCCCCTTCTAATCTGTCATGGAGGAGATACTTTTATGAAGTAATTTCAAGCCTCACCTCCATGGTGGATCAGGAGGGGCACCGCCGCATCAAAAGAATATAGCACAAAAGCGGGTCTAAAGATACTGATCCTCCATGGAGGTGAGGCTTAAAATTGCTTCATTCAAGCCTCTCCTCTGTGGCTCAGCTGGGCCTTTCTGAATGCTGCAGAGCAGAAGGAAGGCTTGAAATATCCTCATAAAGTGGCGCTCTTTTCATGCGCAGCGACGCCCCTCCTAGCTTCGGCCCTGCTGATCACTATACATGGAACTATACAAAGGGTGTAGATGATACTCAGAAAGGGTTTTCATAGGTGAGATCATATACAGTTCAGTAGTAAGGATTGAAGAGCTCAGTAGTAAATAACGCACAGTTTTGTAGTAAAGAACGCATCGCACAGTAGTAAAGAACGCAGCGCATGGTAGTAAAGAACGCAGCGCATGGTAGTAAAGAACGCAGAGCACAGAAGTAAAGAATGCAGAACCCGGTACAATACTTCCACACAACACTGGGCACCTAGAACATTATTTAAAGACAAAATCAATACAATCTTCAGCTTGACAATATTTATTTCGATAAAGAAAATATTTTTTCTCTCCATTGTCATTCTGTGTTTTCTTGAAATACAATTTTCTGTTAAATACTTCACTCACCACTTTGAGGCAGTCACAGGTCATTTGATGTGCTTTTCACCTGCTTAGTGTTGCTTGTGCACCCCAGGGGGCATTCACAAACTCCCTGCGCCCCAGCCCTTCCTCTCCAGCTCCTGCGTGCCTCCATCTGATTCAGGCTCCACCACTGGCTGCTACAGGGGCGGCCGCATAAAGGGAGCGGGCCCTCTCCTTCTCTGTGTGTGCATGGGCTGTGGCCTGAACAGTGGGAAGTGACATAACGCCCCCCTTAATGCAGCTCCCGGGGCACATGCCTCCTCTGCCCTCTTAGTTTCAGCCCTGCTACATGTGATACTTTTTTATTTGTACTAATAGTTCATTTTTCTGGACAAGCTTTTGAGAGATCTGCCCTCTTCCTAAAGCCAAATCAGTGGTGATACACAAAGATTTAAAGACTAAGTTTACCTTTAAAACCAGTTTTCATGTTACATTCATATTCAGGGTGAAACATGGTGACATATCATCATATGGACAGGACTGCAACCTATGCTGCTGACATAGTTCACTGCTCATGGGGAGGGGTGCAATTTGCCCATTTTCACATTAGGTGTTAAAGGACCTTATCTGGGCACTGTCTGCCTGCTTTCCTAAAATGAGGAATAAACCGTTCAAATTTTGGATCTGTGATGAGCGTGAGGTATGCAGATACCATCTATAGCCAGAAGGACCTACTGTGCTTCACACTGGTTCAGAAGAGGGTGTTGTGGTTCACTTGCATCCACCTCACCATAACCTGTCTGCTTATAATTTCTGATTGGTCCCTAAGCCCTATTCCACAGATGCCATGGTTTCCATATAATGCACCGATGATGGTCAAAAAGTCTGAAATAGATGTATACAATTTAAAGTAAATAACTTCTGTGCTGGAAACCAGGTGGAGGGCAAGTTTTATATTATATGTTATGTGCGTTTATACCATTTTATGGACCCATTTTTATGTCTTCCTTGAAGTGAGCAATACAATATTTTGTATGCACATACATATGGTACACATATAGGTGAAACTCGAATAATTAGAATATCGTGCAAAGATTATTTATTTCACTAATGCAACTTAAAAGGTGAAACTAATATATGAGATAGACTCATTACATGCAAAGCAAGATAATTCAAGCCGTGATTTGTCATAATTGTGATGATTATGGCTTACAGCTCATGAAAACCCCAAGAACCCCAAATCCACAACCTCAAAAAAGTAGAATATTACATGCAATCAATAAAACAAGGATTGTACATAGAACAATATCGGACCTCTGAAAAGTACAAGCATGCATATGTACTCAGTACTTGGTTTGGGCCCCTTTTGCAGCACTTACTGCCTTTACTTTTGCACGATATTCTAATTATTCGAGTTTCACCTGTACTGTGGTTTCCATTAATTATACTATATAAACAAGGAATGGGGTGTTGAGTCCAAATGCAGGTTTTGTTTTACATATACAAATAAAAAAGTAACACATACAGTAGTCAACTGTAGTAAAAACTCCAGAAACCTTTCCAGCCTCATTCAAACATGTTTTCAGTTTAATCAGGAAATGTATTGCTGCCTATAAATATTGTGCTCTTGTAACACCATGTACATGCAGTATTAGCTCCTCTAGGCTTACCTTAAAACAGACACAATTCAATTGGGCCGTTTGAGCTGATTTATGCCAAAACTGTATTTTAACCCCTAAGTGACACAGCTTCAAACATTTTTTTCATTCCTGAGGACCGGAGCAATTTTTCTATTTTTGCTATATGTTTAATATAAAACTAGCTCAGTCATGAAGGGGTTAAAGGACAAAATGGACTTTAATTTGATGTGACATGTGCATATATAAATTCTTATATTTTTATAAAAAATAAAAAAATGCAAAAGAAAAAAAACAAATTCTTCACAGTTTTGGCAATAATTAGTGTAGTAACAGAAAGTAATTCATAATATATTATTTTCTTTTATTTGTCCTGATTTATAGGGTATATATTATATCTGGGATTTCAGTTTATTTTGGGAATTATAGGTCACAAAATACAAGGAGTGAAATACAACTTTAGTGTGGAACAATGTTAGAATGTGGTATGTTTGTCTCCTATCCTTAATAGCCTCCCCGGCACTATATTTTCTTATAATTTATTTTATTAAACTTATTTTTTTGAACTTCTTGACTTTTTAAAATTTTGTAAAACGTTTAAAAACTTTATTTGTTTTAAACTAGGGGGCACTAAGGGTTTATTTTTTTATTTTATTTACAGGGGCTTTGATGCATAGTATCTCTGAGTAGAATACAGTATTCATCAATGCCGGCTCGCAGATTCACAACACAGTGAGCCAGCTCTGTGAGTGTCACAGTGGTCAGTTATGGCTGTGATCACAGGACTGTGACCACCTAATCTGCTGTTGAGGGTCTGCACGAGTGACCCATCAACAGGAGTAACTCAATGAGCGCTGGTTCCTTCACGTACCAGCTCTTATTGTACTGCATGAGGTGATTATCCCGTCACCGGTCGTTAACGAACTGAATGATCATGATGGGATCATCGGTCGCGAAGGGGTTGATCTTAATCTGTCACTGTTTACTATTTTGTCATCTGCAGGCTTTGGAATGGAGTACTTCCAGATAAATGCAGACAACAATTTAAGAGAGGGGATGAGTGGCAGTGCTTCTATGGTCCCAAATCATTCATATCGATGAGATGTAAGTTCCACTAGTTTTCTTGAAGCTAATACAGACCACGAACGTTTCACTTATAAATTTGCCTTAGTACATACTTAGCAACTATCCCACACAGGCCGCAAAGGCCATGGGTTATCAAAAGTGGGCATGACATTGACAAAAATTATGGGAGGAAGTCTGGGTGGATAGGTGGTAGGTAGTTGTTCAAGTACATGAGGACTGATTCATTGTTATGAAACGTACCAGATAGAATGTACTTGTGTGCTTTCAGAAATAATGTATGCAAACGGATGTGCTTTTATGCCTTTAGCATTACCAGTTATCCTTTTTTTTTTACCTGACAAGAAGACCTGATGGATGGTCTCCATGCATGGGCTGGATGCATGGTGGCTGCTTGTTTCCTGATGGAAAGAGAGACAGAGAGTGAGAGACAACCATCAATCTAATTCATGTCAACGCAGACCCAACGTAATCTTACCTTAATACTAGGCTAATGATTTACACAAACACACCAATTTTTTCCCTGTCTGCACCAAAATGTAACATTTACCCTGTTCTGGTGCAGAAACACACATTTAGTATGCATTGCATTGAGTTAACCTATTCATTTTGAAAAGGCTGCCAACACACCCCAGCATGGCAAAAACCACAACCCTTTGTTCAGGAATGCAACAGAAGCACATTAGCGTGCATTGCCTTAGCCAATTGGGCTGCTGTTCGTGAATGAATGGCGCCCTGGTACACTTTTGCAGTAATGCACATGTTACCACAAGGGAACAGTGTGAACTAGTCGTAAAAGGGTAAAAAGCTCTCCTAAATCAAATGAAAGCTTCCACTTTGAGCTTTTCCCGAGTCTATCTGTAATTTAAGAACACATAATATTGTGTGGCCCTCTGGAACTATCAGGGGCCACACTTGAAGTCCTCTATATTTGCCAAGTTGACATCCACTGCTCTGGTATCTTTGGTAAGTTTGAAGAGATGTAGACTCAACATTATCCCCATTTGGCAGGGTGGGAAGCACCTGGATGCTAAATCCCTTTAACTTGCCAAACATTAAGCCTCTAAACTATATTGATAAATGTATTTTAAAACAGCTACACTGTTAGATAGATAGATAGATAGATAGATAGATAGATAGATAGATAGATAGATAGATAGATAGATAGATAGATAGTGTTGTCTAGTATATTTATTTGTGCTTCTACTACCTAGATACTTTCCAGAAGATAATATACACTTGTAAACAACTAATCAATATATTGTTAAGGATCCTGACACATTGTTATTGGACCTTTTGTTTCTTTTCCATTATCACTGTGCTTCAGTCAATGCTCTAACTGTCTTTCAGCCCCTATCTTTGTGGTTCAGTGGCTTTATGATGTGGAACAGCTAAGAATAGAAAACATCCAACCTGATTTCCAATTCATGACAGCAAATCAGTGGAATAGCATACAGATCATTGGGCGAGAGCTAAAGAAGTCGCTGCGTGAAGTCCCGTAAGAGATAAGCCATTTCCATTTTGATAGTTGATGGTGAATTTTTCTAGGAATTACCTTTTGCATTCCTGATGGTTATTGGTCTGTGTTAGAGCAAGTCTAGCACAAATATTTACAAAATAATAATAATTTTTTCCGCAAAAGTGAAAAACTAATAAGGAGTTTCTCAACTAAAAAATTATTTTAAAGTCATTTGACTATTCAGTCCTCAAGACAACCACTCTGCTAAGTCCAGTGCAATTGTATGGTAATAGAAAATACTGAATTCAATTTTACCCCTTTTATTTAACTATTACTATATGTACATTTGTGTTATAGTATTGTAATTAGACATGTGCACCGGTAAATAATTCAGTTAGTTTAGTTTCTGTTCATGAAGTAAATTATTTTGTTTCGTCATATCTGTTACATTAGAGTGATTCGTGTTCAGAATGATTTGTTATTTCGGCAAAATTAGTTATTAATTATGCCAAATTAATTTGTAATTCTGGATGGTCGGTTGTTCGTTATTACATACAATTCATTATTTTGGAAGACTGGCTATATATCAACCTTTAACAAAAAGCCCAAACTATCACATCATGACATCTGAATGAAACGAATGAATCCGAAATTACCATAAGGCATTTGTGTTTTGTGTTTTATGAAATGCATTAAAGAACTAACTACACATTTTATCATTAAAGTAAAACCCCAATTCCCAAAAAGTTGGGACGCTGTGTAAAATCTACATAAAAACAGAATGCGATGATTTGCAAATCTCATAAACCCATATTTTATTCACAATAGAAAATAGAAAACATATCAAATGTTTAAACTAAGAATACCTTAAGAAAAAATAAGGTAACTTGTCTTAAAAAAGTTGGGACATGGGCATGTTTTCTATGGTGTAGCATCCCCTCTTCTTTTAACAATACTGTGTAAATGTCTGGAAACTGAGGAGACCAGTTGCTTGAGTTTTGGGAGAGGAATGTTGTCCCATTCTTGCCTGATACAGGATTCTAACTGCTCAAATGTCCTGGGTCTTCTTTGTCGTATTTTTTGTTTGAAGCTGTGCCAAATATTTTCAGTTGGTGAAAGGTCTGGACTGCAGACAGGCCAGTTTAGCATCCGGACTCTTCTACTATGAAGCCATGCTGTTGTTGCAGTATGCGGTTTAGCATTGTCCTGCTAAATATGCAACGACTTCCCTGAAAAATACATCATCTGGATGGGAGCATATGCTGCTCTAAAACCTGTATATATCTTTCAGTATTGATGGTGCCTTTTCATACGCACTAATGAACACCCATGCCACGATGCAGGCTTTTAACTGAGCGCTGAAAGCAAGCTGGAAAGTCCTTCTCCTCTTTAGTTTGGAGGACGCAGCACCTAGAGTTGACAAAAAGAATGTCAAATTTCTATTCACCTGACCGCAGAACAGATTTCCACTTTGCGACAGACCAGTTTAAATGAGCTTTGACCCAGAGAATATGGAGGCATTTCTGAATAATGTTCAGATATGGCTTCTTCTTTGCGTGATGGAGCTTTAACTGGCATTTTTGGATGGCACGGCAAACTCTGTTCACAGACAGTGATTTTTGTGTATTCCTGAGCCCATGCAGTGATGTCCATCCCAGAATTATGCCTGTTTTTAATGCAGTGCCGTCTGTGGGCCCGAAGATCACGGGCATCCAATATTACATTTCGACCTTGTCCCTTACACACAGAGATTTCTCCAGATTCTTTTGGTGATATTATGTACTGTAGATGATGATACATTTAAAGTCTTTGCAATTTTATGTTGCGGAACATTATTCTGAAATTGTTCCACAATTTTTCGATGCAGCTTTTCATAGATTGGTGAACCTCTGCCCATCTTTACTTCTGAGACGCTCTGACTCTCTAAAGGTGCCCACACACCTTGCGATAATCGTACAATAATTGCGGAAAATCCCGCGATCGTACGATTATCGCAAGGTGCAACGTGGGCACACACCTTACAACCATCACATATGGCGATGGTTATAAGGTGTGTGCCCAGCATAAGATGCTCTTTTTATACCCAATCATGTTACTGACCTGTTGCCAATTAACCTAATTAGTTGCAAAATATTCTGCCAGCTCTTCCTTGTTAGAACTACCTACTTTGCCAGCATTTTGTTGCCCTATCCCAACTTTTTTGAGATGTGTTGCTGCCATCAGTTTCAAAATTACCTTATTTTTTTCTTAAAATGGTACATTTTCTCAGTTTAAACATTCAATGTGTTTTCTATTTTCTTTTGTGAATAAAATATAGGCTTATGAGCTTTGCAAATCATTGCATTCTGTTTTTATGTAGATTTTACAGTGTCCAAACTTTTTTGAAATTGTAGTAATAAGCCCCTTATTGTTCAATTTGTGATGGAAGTGATGACACAGTTATAACTTCTGCTTTACAAAGAATCTGCTATAATGGTGCCAGAAATGTAAAGAAAACCTGTCATTACAGAAATATAGCAACTGACATTGCTGATCTGTTCTTCTAAAAATGTCGGCTGTTTGTTCCCCGTTGGTGACTCCGAAAGAGTTGCAGTTAGAGACTGCAAAGGCAACTAAGATTTTCAGAAGAAGGTCAACAATGGCAGCCCCTTAAATATCTTCATACAGGTTCCAATAAATAGCAGGCATCCAAATGGCCAATTGTTCAGTCTCTTAAACAGCATTGGCAGCCTTAATGTAAAGCGGAAGAAGCAGATGCTGCTCTATAATACTATCATCATGCTTCACATGGTCATAGTTGCAATTACCGTACTTTAAAATGCTTTCAGCTCCTGATTATTTGATTTAATAATTTAAAAGTAATTTATGTTTTGAAAGCTGCAGGATATTTTTATTAAAGTGAAACTCCATAAACCTTTTTTTTTTTTACTTTTGCTGTCTACCAATAAGTTACCTCTAATGATGGTACAGTAAAAAATCTTAGTTTAATTCATTCTGGATTCTGCTATCGGCACCAATCTTCTGGAATTTACTGAGAGCTGTGGGTCCTGTACAGTGACAGATTGTGCCGTTTACCCTTCCTTTCCTCTCCTCTTGTCCATTCACAAAACTTCTTGTATCCTTTTTCAGAATACAAGGCATTCTGTGAATGAACAGAGGGAGGTCCTGTCATTTACCTGCCCCTCCTCTACCATTGCCCATTCACAGAACACCTTGTATTCTGCGAACAGAATACAAGGTGTTTTGTAACTGGACAAGAAAAGAGGAAAGCATGGGTAAATAACAGGATCATTCACTGCACAATACCTGCAGCTCTGAGGGATGAATGAAACGAAGATTATTACTTCGTGCAGCAGCCATCCACACCTAGGAGAACCACCATTAGAGGTAATCTATTTGTACCCAGCACAAATAAAGGGGAAAAAAAGTTTTTTTCCCTGAATTGTTTCTTTTCTAAATCCATCAATGTTAATATAACCAATAGTTTCATTTTGATGTTATACAGTATTATAACTCAGCAGTACAAGTTGAAGAATACACCTTTAATAAACAAGTTTTCGTTATCTTCGTTAACAGGGCAGTATTTGCTCCAGCCTGCTTCTCCCACACACTTGTTACAGAAAGGTAAGAAGAATGCAGACATTCCAACTGCTCTGCTTAACAGCTGGCTTATCTTGGAGAATCCTGTTTTGTCTTAAAGGCTTCTAATAGCTAATGTATTTATTTTTTAAACCTAACGCTAGTCAAAACCTTTTAGCTTTAATTAGAAGGGGGAACAAAGTAGAATTATTGCTAAGTTTTAATTACTTTGACTCCCTTGAGAAGATCTCCCTTATCTTTTTTTTTATCCCGTGACACCAGGACAAAAAGAAGGTCACTGGAATAGAAAGCACAGACAGCAATAAAAAATAAAAAAAACGACCGTTTTTACCCCCTTCCAAGTCAAAAAATGTTATTGCTCTATTGTAGTTTCTTGTTGTCTCTGTCCCAATTTGAGAAGTTTTCCTTCACTTTTAATGCTTCTAACCCTTGATCACTTGAGGAGGATGTGTGTTGAAACTTAATGGAAGCAATGAAAATCAGAAGTTATACCCCTCTCCATGCTTAAAAAAAAATTGGGCTGTCTTTAAATTAAAACTCTAGCTTTGCTAATGACTATACTCCCAAATTCTACTATATATAGTTCAATTACTTTTAAAATGTTTTTCCTTATTTCTACTTGCTTTTGTCCTTCTCCGAAGGACGGGTGGACATTTTCAGAATGACATGTTCTGCATGGATAATATAGTCAGTGTAGAGATTACCATTTAATGTAGAGAACAACAAGTTTGTGCTCAGGGAGCAAGATTCCAGTGCTGCAATTGGGCTTTAAATCTGCTCAAACACCATAAGAAGCAAGTGGCTGGTGCTGCATTTCAGCATGCAATTACAACTGAAATATATCAATTTTAAATTTAAACACACCATTTAATACATGGGTTCCCTAATTTTATTCAGGTGTATTAAACAGTAAAATTGTTTATTTAACAGCAACTGGCTGGATTTCCAAGTAAAGGGTGTAAACTTAGCTCGAGCTCTGCAATGCTGGGAGAAAAGCCTACAGGAGCGAAGGAATCAAAAGACTGTCATGCGTGGATGTCCCTTTCATTTAATAGATAACTGTCATTGGCCTCATTGCAATCCCACATGTCCAGCTCTTCATGACCCGGTCACTGGCCAAGAAGTTACATTATTGCAAATGTTTCTCAGGCTGAACCTTGAAAACCAGAAGAGAGGTCAGGAGCCCAAAGGAGATCTAAACCAGCTGATGGCCATGCTAAGAAATGGTGGTTAATCATAACTTTATGACATTTTATTATATATTATTTATGATGGCTAGTCCTTACTAGCGGTGAAACGGAACAGTTTATTTAAAGAAGAACTCCAGAAAATTAAATATTTGCCCTTGCAGTGGGGCTACCCCAGCATTGCAAGGGTTAGCTGCTCATTTTGGTCTAGGAGCTAAAATAAAGAAAATATATTCACCTGATTCTCAGTACTGCGGCTGTGACCGATCATCTTTCCCCCTCCATTCTGGCAGTGAAATGTCCCTCGGTGTCCTTGGGGGAGAAGAGGCTCCGGGGACCAGACAAGCAGCCAAGTGGGACCGAAGATCGGGTGAATATATATTCTTTTTTTTAGCCCCTAGACCAAAAGGAGCAATTAACCCTTGCAGTGTGGCGTAGCCCCACTGTAAGGGTTACTTTTTAGATTCCTTTAAGGTCTTCTTGAAGATACATCTGGCTGAAGAATGCTTGAAGATGGAATGATTTTACCTACACAATAAGATCTATTATTTATGTGATTTACAAGTTTTGCCAAACATGTACTAAGTTTGGGCACATGTTTGGTTATGTGCAAACACCAACAATATGTAACTTGATTCAAACTTGAACTAACATCTCAAAGTTAATGTTACATGTTTCAAAGGCTCTATGAATTTTGCAAATCCTTTGGATTATTCTTTATTGTTTGTTAAATAAAAAGCATATCGTGCATGATGAACACTTTTTGATGTAATACTCCATCTGTCCATTCTCCAAACCCTTCATCCTCTTGTGAATTACCATGCTAGTTTATATTATATCAACCTATATATAAAATAAAAGTTCCTACTTAGACAATACAATTTGCAAATATAACTCTGTCTTCTGTGGACTGGCAAATACTGTATTTTATTCATATGCAATTCTTTTTTAGTGCAGCTCTATTATTACCCTTTTCATGACAGGGGCTGATTAAACAAGGATTGCTGCGGGATAAAAAGGGAAGATCGACTGATTCCAGTCTTTAAAATTGGCTTAGCAGGCTGCACTGGTAGTGGTTCTGCCACTATACTTGTCCTAGATAAACATTTCTGGTATATTTGCACTGTAATTTATTTAAAAAAAAAAAAATTCAATTGGCATCACAAACAGCATCAGATTATGCAGGAATCTAAAAGATAACGTAGATCATATTTTTGGAATGCAAAGCTGTTCTGGATTAATTTAGCTGATACAGTTTATCTGTATGCATATGTTGCCATATTTCTTTGATGAGATCATTATTATCTGCAAGATTTTCCAGAGTTCAGTAAAATTCCTTTTTGAAAGATTACATTTAGTATAACACCTTACAGATTTCCATCTCAAGGCCATCTCAGTTCAGAACTATTTGAGATTTGCATTGTTGCTGGCAAGTTAAATCAAATGGTTGCTCTGAATCAATAAAGACATGCATGTACAAACTTTAAGAAATAAGGCTCATTGTGTTTTCATTTCTAGCAAGTAATGTACCTGATTTATAAAAATGAAACTCCACATTTGTTGAGAAAACACAATCACCTCTAGTAAAATTACTAAATATAAATAAAGAAGAAAAAAGAACTACATAAAAATGCATTACCAATACACTACACATTCATTTTACTTACATTTTAATAAGGCAAGCACCCTCTGACATGATAAAATGCTCACACAAACCAATGCAAATAAGTGCATATAATGCACCAAAAATATATGGAAAATCGCATATATTTTCAAATGCAAAAGTGTAAGCCAGACCTTTAGAGTTAAACCTTAAAAACACATTTAAGCACCTTAACTATTAACAAAAAAGTATCTTATTTGTGTATCACTCAGCTGTAGATCCTCAAATCATCTCTGAATTGGTGCTGACACTGTCCTTCCTTCTAAAGGTTGGCTTCTTTTATTCCCCATGGTCCCTGTGCGTGTTGTAAAGTAGACACAGCTCCGAGCTCGCTCCCCTGATGAACTATAATATCAAAACAAATTAGTAAGCTAAATGTGAGAGTGTAGTCTATGATGGGAGTAAGCTCACACTCCTAGACACACAGGGAACAACATAAAGGCAAGGTCCACTTAAAAAAAATGCACATATATTCATTAGAAAAAAAATGGTGTTTATTATTTTCTTGCATTTGAACCAGTAAAACATTGCAACCGCAATCAGATCAAGGGTGCAATGCTCTGGCTCCTGCAGATTCTTCCTCCAGTCCCTGTCCATACCGAGGAACAGACTTTCAGTTACAGGGACAGGAGGACGTATGAATGGACTACAAGTCCAGCCTGCGGGGGGCAGGACCCCACGAATCCGGCAAGTGGATAAGGTGGAGGGGAGGAGGACTGGGGATGTGACCCATGTTTCATGTTATACCATGTTATATGAAACATGGTATTAAAGGTAAAGAGCCTTTAACATGACTCCATGTTGTGGGTAATTAACCTCCGTGCAGTTTGATGATTCTGATCCACTGTAACATTCATCTGAGCACTGACAGCCTCAATAAAAATATAGTATTTGGCCCAATCTATGAATTTTCACATGAAGTTTTCTTTTGTGTGTGACAACTGCCCATTAGCATTCATTATAATTATTTTTATATCCAATTCTTCTTCCTGATGATTGTGATATTGCTTAGTCTGCTCATGTATAATCCAGTGGTATAGTAGAAGTACGGTAAGGTGGTTATATATGAACATGCAGACAGAAGAATGATTTTCCATTGCCTTCTCCCACTGTGAGCTGGTAAACAATAAGTTATTGCTGTAGGGCCAGATAGGAAAACATCTGCTCTGCTTGTTAGAGATGATGAATGGCTTTAATGGAAACAAACTCATTGTAAATAATGGTTATAGTAGCCTCATTTATCACTTCTAGGAGAACAGGCTTGTTTTTTTTACGTTTACTTTCATCGTTCTTGCTTGAAAACAGCAAACCCACCATTAAACAAAAAAAGGAGAAACTTTCTTAAGAGGCAAGTGAGCCACAATATGAAAATTGATTTAGGATTTCCAGCCAACTCAGAAAAGCTAATAGCTTTAATGCCAACTGTATACAGGTAAAATGTTAAATTGTTCTATGCAGTTAGATCTTATTTCTGCTAGTTTTGATACATTACATTACAGTAGCATAGCGTCAGTGCTGGTAGTTTTTGGCGTAGAGATTTCATCCAGGGAGCAATGCCTTGTCCTAATGCCTCCATCACACTAACCCTCTCTCTAACCATAAAATGAATTCATCCTGTAACTCTAACCCTCCACATAACCCTAAAATTAACCCTCACAGCAACCCTCCATGTATCCCTAACACTAACCCTCCACATAACCCTAACAATAACCAATAACACTAACCGCCCTCCTCACCATCTTGTCTTGAATTGTATTGTGATTGTAATGTCTTCCTTATAGTGTAAAGCCCTGCATCCCTAAAACTCAGCTTGGCACTAATCCTTCACATGATGCATACTTAAACTCGGTGTGCTGCTTATCTGACTGCCACTGTAACACCCAGGGTACCTATAAGGCTGTATAGAAAGCTTAGAGCTCTGTGCTGAGTGACAAGGGCTGCTCCCTGTGCTTGTCATAAATTAGCTATTTCAAGGTAACCCCAGAGTATTTTTCAACATCTTTGGGCTACCCAACGTTACTCAGCATTTGCTACAGTAAAGCTTAAATAATAAGTATGATGCACAGCTTAAAGTGGTACCATCTGAATATAGAGAATAACCAGTACGCCACAGGTTGCAGTTTAGTGCTTTACTTAAGTTCCATACAAGAGCAACATTTCAGAGACATGGGGGTCCTGTTTCTCAAGATGTTCTGTCTGTTATCTTGAGAAAGGGGGATCCCAATATCTCCAAAACATGCACTGTACTCAGAAATATAAATCTGACAGGGGTTTGGGCTAGCAACACTGTTTCCTCAAAATTTCTGGTCCCCTGGCTACTCCAGAACTGCTTTGGAGGCAAAGAAGACGGAGTAGAGATGTAGGAGATTGGGGGACACTCATTCCCCAATCTCCATCCCTGATAATGAAATCAGAAGTGCTCTGCAGTTACAGCCATTGTACTGGAAAACCTTATATCTAAGACATATGCACTTAACTATATAGTGCTGGCATATGTATTAACATCTACACATGTTTTGAGTCCTTGTATTCAGCATAAATAGCAGAAAATAATTTTGTGAAAATATTTGGAATAGTATTAATTACAGGCATTCCTTGGGACATGATGGGGTTACGTTCTGATAAACCCATTGTAAAGCGATCATATCACAAACTGAGGAGTTGTATAAACATGAAATATTCAACACTTTATGATCATATACAGTTGCCCTTTGTCCATCTGTAGGTTAAGTGTTTTAGCCAAGTTTAAGGTAGGCTAAGCTATGATAATTACAATAGTGTGTATATACAGTATATATACAGTATATATCTATATACACTGTATATAGATACTATACTGTATATCTCATAGCTTAGCCTACCTTAAACCTGGCTAAAACACTTACGTTAACCTACAGATGGACAAAAGCCTACTGTATTTGGTAATAAAATGTTAAATATCTTGTGTAATTTATTGAATAACGTATTGAAAAAAAAAAACAAGACAAAATGGTTATACAGTAGAGTACTGTATTGATAATTACCATTACCAACGTATGCATGTGAAAGCACACTTGGACTGAAGAATGTTTGAAGAATATACAGTAGTAAATGTAATTGCTGGATGATGATGATGAGGATGATGTGCTATAGCGATGGGGTCTTGATGAGTGTATGTATGCTCTGGCATACTCTTCCAGAACCAGCTGGTTTCATCGACATTAAATATTTGCTCAGGCAAATAATTTTCTTCCACAATTATCTGTTGCAGCTCTTCCTTAAACACTTCGGCTCCTTCATAAAAATCACTTGCTGCTTCACCGCTGACCTTCACATTATGAAAATTATGACGCCTTTTCAAGCGTTGGAACCACCCATGACTTGCTGTACACTGCTGCGTCTGCG